AAACCGCAATGCAGGTTACCTATACTCCGTTCACTCTTAGCCGAAACTGCAGCCAAAGCTACAAGCGCGAGCTAGCCCGCACTCCTGGCTTTGAGACGTGCATTCCTAGCGCGAGTGCTCATTCTGCCGAAGGATGGACTCTGCTTTCGGCCAGGGGGCGCGGGTGCGTCCGCAATTAAGACGGGACCATGTTATGCTTGCTGCCCCATCCACGCGATACGACCATAAAAGTGGCGCTGTAACGTTCGATTATGCACGTGGCACGTTTGAATACGGCATATGTCAGCCTCAGAAATAACAAAACAATAAAAAAAAATTAAAATAAAAAAAAATATATTTTGCAGCTTGCGGCTTCAGCGTTCTATTAACAGCCCTTTTAGCTTCATTATCTGCATTGCTTTCTTTCATACCCTCCCTCAGCACGTATGTTTCACTTTACGTGATAGCGAAAAAGCTACTTGCAAAAGCATGTCCCCCAGAACGATGCACGCGCTGCACCAGCGCTCGTGCTTGGCAGGGACACTGAAATAGAGCACTGCACGGGCCCGGGTCAGCCCGAAAGCCCAAGCCCGGCCCGGCCCGCGGGCCGGGCTCGGGCCGGGTAGCACGTATTTTCTCGGGCCCGGGCCGGGCTCGGGCTTGAACAAAAAAGTTCTCGGGCCGCGCCGGCCCGGACCGGCCCGGGCCGTGCCTGGGCAATCTTGTGCCGTAAATCATAAATTGTTGTTGATAGCAAGAAGTTTGCTCATTAATCTTTCAGGTTCATTGAATACAAAAAAAGCGAAGTGCAAATTCACTACAGCGTCGTTAAAAATAGTAACTAAAAAACGTCTTGAAGCTAGAAAGCCTTCAAGCTTTTTCCGTGTGAGCGAGGGTTCAGTGTTATAAATTGTAAACAAAATAAAGTCCCAGCCATATGCTTGTCAACCTGTCTGATTCATCGCTCTCAAAAATATCTAGTTCACTATTAGGAAGATTTAGAAAAACGTACGCAAGCGCTTTAGGTACCGTAAAAATAGCGTTGCGATGTAAAACCTATGGCGATGCTAATTTTAGCTTGCCCAAAGTGCTTGAGTACGTTATTCTAAGACTCCCTTATTGCACAGAGCGCGACACTATATTAGCGCGAACAAGCGATCGTCGTGTTTTTATGTTTATCTTATAGAATCAAAACGCTGTTTTCAAAACTATTAGTGTCTTTAGAAGTGCTCATCTGGGCACTTTGGTGCCTACTAACACCATTTCGAAGTAAAATTCGAAAAAAGAGCCAACGTCGTGTTCGCGGTATCGGCGTCGCGCAGTGTACATAGTCCGTTCCGCGCTTGCACGTTTTGGGAACCATCTTGAAAAAAACGTTTTAAAGGGTTAAGTAGGAATATATTAAACTTAAGCTTGCCTGAAAGGGTTGTTTATTTTAAAAACGCGTTGACATGTAAAGCTACTTCAGAACATATTCTTAAACAGAAAAGGTGCGCAGATCAGGCTTAGAACGATGGAGACTTTTTGCGAAGAGGTTGCGATGTGCAGGGCCTTATAAAAGTAGGTTGAAACGGGACGCGTTCAAACGCAAAGGGTGTTTCAGAAACTGGTTCAAATAAGAAGGGCGTTTAGGGAATGGGTCGAAGCAGGACAAATTCAAACGAGAAGGGCGTTTAGGGAACTGGTCGAAACGGGACGGGTTCAAACGGGAATGGGTTGTTTCGGGCTACAGTCATCGGGCCGGGTCGGGCGGGGCCTAGAAATTAAAAATTCTGTAGGGCTCGGGCCGGGCCCGGGCCGTGTCTCTTCCGGGCCGGGTCGGGCCGGGCCTAGAAATTAAAAATCCTGTCGGGCTCGGGCCGGGCCCGGGCCGTGTCTCTACCGGGCCGGGTCGGGCCGGGCCTAGAAATTCCGGCCCGTGCAGTGCTCTACACTGAAAGCTCGCAGCTCGCTTCTGTAGCCTCTGCTACGCTGGCACTTAGAATGGAACGGAGTATAAAGAACTCTATAGTGGGGATGCGTATTGACGCATGTTCGAAACGCGGGCCAAATATTCTATTTTGGTCGCCTAGAGCGCTGCTCAAAACTTAAGAGCTACGAGCCTATAACAAAACGTCTAAGAAATAATAATAATAAAAAAAAAATGCATCTCGCGGCCGCAGCGTCCCATTAAACATTCCTTTCAGCTTTGATATTTGTATTACTTTCTTTCATGCGTCCGCGAGCACGTGTCATTTTACGTGATAGAGAAGCCAAACCTACTTGCAAAAGCACGTTCCCCGAACCAGTGTTGTACGGAACGGCGTTCCTGGAACGCGTTACTTTTAGAAGGAACGAAGGAACGCCGCCGTTCCATTTTGCATTGGTGGAACTGGAACGGGAACGCGTTTCATTTTACTGGAACGGAAAAAGGAACGGCGTTCCTTTTTTTCGTCCAGTGGAGTAATTTGTATTTTATTTCTGAAAGGGAAATTCTAAAAGTATAAAAACAATATCCATCTTTACGAAGAGCAGGATTTCGTTAACTCTTTGTTCACATACCATATGGTTTATTTTGTGTGATACTCGCTTGGTGACAGTCGGGTGCAGGAGAGCTAGTGGACATCGATTCTTTTTTTAGTGCCCAAGACTGCGGTACAAAAAGCCAAACTTTCACTCGAAGTAAAAAACACAGAAAGAAAGACGTTTGAAACTCAGCTACTTTCTTTGCTTCCCCGAATCCTCGTATACCCAAAAATCTAAGACCGACTGCAGCCATCACTGAACTTCCACAAATAGACGTGCAGTTACAACAAAAGAGCAGGTTGCACGATATCGAACGCACCCTTGTATCCCGAATATATTGGTGACATAAGATATACACAAAAATTAATTTGTATTTCTTCTCTCCTTGTTCCCTATCTTCAAACTGAACAACGAGTCCAACCTTCAGGAAGAAGGACTTGTACTTTTTAAGACTGACCTTCCAGCAGCCCTACCTTCTTCACTTGCTCGTCTTGCGGACAGCAACATCGAGAAGCAGCTGTTGTTATGTTCGAACAAGTGACTTCGTTCGACAAAATACAAATGTAACGTGTATATAACGATACGTTCCGATTCTTCAACTGTAACGGGAACGAGTTCCTTTTTCACATATGGAACTTGTAACGGGAACGCGTTCCAAACATCAGAAGGAACGAGGAACGAGCTTTTGTTCCTTTTTTTGAGGAACGTGTACAACACTGCCCCGAACGATGCTCGCACTGCACGAGCGCACGTGCTTGGCAGGGACATTGAAAGCTCGGAGCTCGCTCTTGTAGCCTCTGCTACGCTGGCACTTACCGCTCATTCACACTCGAAGCGGATTCGCGTTCGCAAAGCGGTTGCGAACGCGGTTGTATAGACGCTTTACACACGCGCCAAATTGAGCCGCCATAGCCGCCCTTCTCTTGTCTTATCGAGATGCCGAGCCACTGAAGCGGGCGTTGACGGGTCTTCATAAGGGCCTATGCTGGGCACAAGAACACAGTAGCATCTAAAATGGCAATAACCTGTCCTGCTGTGGTAATGATGAAGTGAAGCGAACGGAATAAGGGGGAACAAAAACTAAAGGTCAGTTATGGCGGCGCCCATGCACAGCTGCTGTAAAGCGTCTATAGAGATCCAGTACAGTTGCACGCGCACTCGATGACATCAAGTGCGTGTGCAATGGACCTTTTCCAAATACCGACGGCACCAGACGGTGGCTGCATGAACTAAAAATCTAGGAAGTGACCTACCTGCGCTACCAATCGATAATGGGAGCTACGCTACCACTTGCTTCGCTCTCTGAGCTGCGTCGCGGAATCCGTAGCGTCCACCCAAACGTTGTTTTTCCTTCCGTCCACTTTCTTTTTTTGTGTAATACAATTATATATATGCTGCAATTACGTGTTCTACTCGTCGATCTACAGCCTCATTCCGAATTTCCTTGATTTTTCGTTCCGACTTCCACTGCTTGGCATCGGGCGCTCGCGCGTGCGCAGAACGCTTCTCGGAAAAGGTCCATTGTACTGGATTTTTATACAACCGCGTTCGCAACCGCTTTGCGATAGCGGATCCGCTTCCAGTGTGAATGAGCGGTTAGAACAGAACGGAGTAAAAGAAATTGTAGTGGGGAAGCTTAATGACGCAAACGCGAGCCAAATATTCTATTTTGCTCGCCCGGAGCGCTGCTCAGAACTTGGGAACTACGGGCCTATAAAACTGTAGTGGGGAAGCGTAATGACGCATGTTCGAAACGCGAGTCACAAATATTCTATTTTGCTCGCCCGGACGCTGCTCAAAACTTTAGCTAATGGCCTATGCTTCAAAGCAGCGACCTCCGACTCTCGCGCTCGTGGCATTGGTTGCAGGTTGAGCGTTTTTCCCGTTAGCACGTGGGTGTGCTGCAGCAAAGCAAGGTGCGCGGAATCGCGATGTCTGCCCCGCGGCCGCCCCACTGCAAGACACCAGTCCTCGTTGAGAGGCGCACTCAAGAGAGCTAGGACACACCATGAAGGTGAGAAATATTGCGAGACTTTAACTACCGCCAGTGAATACAGAAATCAAATCGAATAATATGTTATTCTAAGTGGCAGTCGAAATATCTGAAAATTCGCACAACCCTACCATAATGGCCAGGCCATGAAATGGGAACGAGTAGGTTAGAATAGTAGTAAAGCGAAAACAAAGTTTGAGAGCAATATAGGTACATATTCCTCCTATTTTGTCGAAGTGTGGCAGAATGAGAACGCTGGAACAGCAATCACATGCCTGCAAAGTAATGTACGTTACATTCAGTAAATTATGTTCAACTAATTCGGGTACTTTTACGGAACACCAAGAATATTTTTTACAGGCTGCTCAACTACACCGAGCTCCAAGGAAAATCCATACCAACAAACAAACACACCCTTGACTAGATCCACATCCCATCAGCCCCAACCGAATATCCTCGTGAAGTAACGACACACACGAGACAAAGTGCAGTTTGAGCACGCCAAGTGAACACCGCAGCACTGTAACTGTAAAAAGAGGTTTATTGTGGTATTTCGAAAAGCACAAGCTACCCACTCTCTTTCCGTACGCACAGAAAAAAAAAAGGATGCCCTTTGTGGCCACAGCACACCCGCTCTGCAAGGAGAGGAGGAGCAGAGGGATAGAGGGAGAGGGGGGCTGCCCTTCCTCCACGGGAGGAGGCTCCTCGTAGTATCACACTGCGTCACCAGCCTCCCTCCTAAACGTTGTCCATTTGCGCTCCGAGACGATGATGCCCCGAAAACTTGGGGCCCCCTGGCGATCGCGGCGGTCCCCGCGATGGGGGCGGTCGAGGCGGGGATTGCACTTCTACACTTTGGGTCCGGCGGGACTTGGCACCGTGTTTGTTTCTTCTTTATACTTTGCGCCGTTGTCTCACAGCATGTGATGCCCTGTTGGAGATGGTGACAGTAAATTCTCGCTGCCCATCTTTTAAGGTTTTTGTGTAAGTATCAACATTGCTTAGGGTGCACTGTTCAAGCGGGCTTACCGCAAAATTATACAACTTGAGAGAAATGAACAATGTACAGTTACAAAATATTAAGATTCCAGACAATCCGAGATAAGCATTACGTAAAACTGAGGAAAACATGTTGGAAAGTGTGTTCACAATTATACTCTCCAAACAATTCCATCTATCAAAACAAAGAGAGGGCAGGGACCATCTGTGTGGCATCTAACATCTTGCAGGGTATTCTGGCAATCATTTCTTCATCAAATAAAATGTAAATATTTTTATAAATATAAATATTTTTATAAATATAAATATATAAATATTTTATCGATGCAGGTTTGATCATTATACATAGTGTAAAGACTGTAAAAACTTTTCTGGTTGGCATCTCCATCAGAGTTGACTCTTAATGTTTGCAATACTAGATACAAATTACCTTTGCTACTTTCAAATTGAGCAGCTTTGATTAAAGCAACAATCCTGCAACAGTCTTGGGGATACTTCGTATTCTTTGACCCAAAAACTACTTCACCTCAAATTTTCAGAAAAAGTGTTTGGAGGGCAATATTTACTTTAATGTACCACCATATTTACACCAATACATATTTCACTGCCTACAAAGAAAGCTCATGCATTTACTTCCCCCGCGCTTTATGTCTAGAAAATGACTGCGATACTATACGAAAGGAGTTTCACTTATAACAAGCTAAAGAAACGTTCTCACACAACATTGCCATCTGCACTACAATGCTCGGCACACCCCTCCACATGGTCACGAGCCAGCATAACTTGCAACTTCTGAAATAAACACTACTTGGATCTTATGATATCCTAGGTCAACTCTGCAGATAACAGTCATGATCTGTGCGTGCACAATGAAAATGTCCTTACCATACTATGTATATGTTACTATCAAGTACTCAATGTCAAGTCATCTCTGTACAAATTGTAAAAAAACAGAAAGAGTAACTCATAGATCTTTTGAGCTGCCTTGATCTTGGCAGCTATTTTGCACTGTTGTAGGGCTGGGGAGAAGTGCCTCTCATAAAATGGTACATGACAGAAAGACCCAGCTTACCTATAACCTAGGTTTGTTGCACTAACCCTTGTCCTCTGAGGCAGGACCTGGACACAAGGTCACATTGCAGATGTCCTTCACTATCATCTCTGCCACCTGCCATGCCAGATCTTCTTCAGTCTGGAGAAGAAACCACCGCAAAATTATTTACAAGGCATACTCCACCAAAAGAGAAAGGCACACCTTTCCTAATTCATTGCATTATGATCACTTAGATACGAGTTTATGTACTCAGGTACGAGATAGAACCCAGAAAAGGCTGAGGCAAGCACTCCGCCCACTCTTTGCATTCTTCTTTTCAATATGAAGATGGCAGTATTGCTTCTAGCATGTACAATTATCTCTCGTCAATATGGACTCTGACCCTATTAATATGAACCACAGACAAAAGTTTTGGGGACATACTCGGTAAACACATGCATTTCTGTCTCGCTATTGAAAACAACTCACATAGGGCACAATTTTTTTTTTTCTTCGTGTGTGTGTGTGTGGGGGGGGGGGAGGGGGGAACGAGGGGATCATACTTACAAGACATCACTATATAAAATATTAATTAAGGGCAAAGGTTTAAACCACATGCAATTACATTAGGGCATCATATGCAACATGGCCATACATATGATTATTTTTATTTTGAACTTCTAAAACAATTTTAGAGATCCTAGAGAGCCTAGCGCAGTGGTTCACAAATGGGGTTCGCAGACCCTTCGGGGTCTGCAAAGGCATTTTAAGGGCCCGCGAAGCCCTGTCTCAGCAGTCAGGCCCAGCAAGGAAAGTTGTCTTTTTTTCAGATTGAGAAGAAACATTCCAATTTTTGGGTAAATTTTCTCGTGTGTATGTCAATGAGAGAACTCTACTTCAAATTACCCATTAGTTATATCCATTTATTAAATCAATATCATAATCAACCGATATCTTTCCCTTTGTCTCACCACGAATAGGGTCCTCCATCATCTCTGCCTATACACAATGGGTCTGCGAAACATCAATGGTTGAGAACCACCGGCCTAGAGCATGGCAAGTCAAACCAGATACTGTGGAAACTGCAAGTACTATAGAAACGTAGCTAGCCAATGTTAGGGACACTAAAATGTGGTCTGAACATGTTTCTGGGAAGTCAATAAGACAACCAATTGAAATGTGGTGAATAGGAAGCTTAAAAACTTACTTCTATCTTAAAATCTCTATGGACACAGTTGCATAAGTGAAGCCAAGTGGGTAGCACCATCAAAACAGGAAATGCACTTGCCTTATCTACATCCCAGTTGACTAGTTTCTTGAAAGCTTTGGTGAGATTAGAGCCTGAAAAAAAACAATATTGTTTAGGCTCCAAGCAAAACTAGTATCAGTGCAAAAGAACTTGACTATACAGTCGAAAATCGCTGTAACAAAGTAGCATCGCGAGCAAAATTTTTTTCTCTATAGCGATATTCGTTATAAAAGTACACACAAAAATTGATGCGCACGTTCCCGCAATTGAGCCCATGCAAGATCATGCACAGCACTAAGATATAAAAACGAGCTATAGTGGGCCTTGAGATCGTTACCCGTCACTAAGCAGAATTAAAAAAAAATAGATCGGAACATGAGATTGTCAATTCGCAACACGAGAAACGACGTTAGCTGGATCTATTATTTCATTTATTTCAAGAGAGACATGATTTTGGGTTGGTGCCTCTTCACCTGGAGCCAACGTGCTACAGCCAACCGCTGCTCGAGCTGAAATCATTGTGCCCTAACAGACACGCCAGACTGAGTGCTTTCGTTTGAAGAAGCTAACCAGACACTCGCAGATATTGTGTCCTCACCATACCTCGGCAAACCTCACTCATGAGGGCCCTCACTCACCCTCACTCACCCTCATCTTCACAGGCGAGGTGAGGGTGAGTGAGTTTCTGAACCAGGAAAATTCATGAGTGTGAGGGTGAGTGAGGGCGGTGAGGGCGGTGAGGGCCGTGAGAGCTGTGAGGGCGGTGAGGGACGTGAGGGCGGTGAGGGCCGTGAGGGCGGTGAGGGATGTGAGGGCGGTGAGGGCCGTGAGGGCTGTGAGGGCGGTGAAGGACGTGAGGGCGGTGAGGGCCGTGAGGGCGGTGAGGGCCGTGAGGGCTGTGAGGGCGGTGAGGGCCGTGAGGGCTGTGAAGGACGTGAGGGCCGTGAGGGCCGTGAGGGCGGTGAGGGCTGTGAAGGACGTGAGGGCCGTGAGGGCCGTGAGGGCGGTGAGGGCGGTGAGGGCGGTGAGGGCCGTGAGGGCGGTGAAGGACGTGAGGGCCGTGAGGGCGGTGAGGGCCGTGAGGGCTGTGAGGGCGGTGAAGGACGTGAGGGCCGTGAGGGCTGTGAGGGCGGTGAGGGCCGTGAGGGCGGTGAGGGCGGTGAGGGCGGTGAGGGACGTGAGGGCTGTGAGGGCGGTGAAGGACGTGAGGGCCGTGAGGGCCGTGAGGGCGGTGAAGGACGTGAGGGCGGTGAGGGACGTGGGAGCCGTGAGGGCCATGAGGGCGGTAAGGGGTATGAGGGCCATGAGTGCGTGAGGGTGGTGAGTGGCGTGAGGGCCATGAGTGCGTGAGCGGTGTGAGGGCGGTGAGTGCGTGAGCGGTGTGAGGGCGGTGAGTGCGTGAGGGGTGTGAGGGCCATGAGTGCGTGAGGGCAGTGACATGAGAGGCGTGAGCGCCGTGAGGGCGGTGAGTGAATGAGGTGTGTGAGGGCCATGAGTGCGTGAGGCGCCCTTCAGATCGAGCATCTTTCTCAGCAATTTTGGTGTGAATGGCAGGTTGTTCTCTAGCTCTCCCTAGATCGACACGAATTGCTGAGATCGGGTCCAGCTCGAAATAAGCAAGCAACTCGGAGCAATTCGAATACGTTTGAAGCAGCTCCATCCAATCAGGGACGCAAAATTTTCACGTGATACCTCGTGCCAGTGATGATGACACCCAAAGACTTGGTTCTGGTCTGAAATCGATCGTTTTTTTGGAAATAAACTGTTTCAGAAAGGTGCCTTAGTATTCTTAACGAGATTTAAATGCATAAAAACACGTTTATAACGCGTAATTGTGTCTAAATAGTGCAAGAAAAATAAAATTTTATGATGACGATGGTAAATTGCAGCAATTGGTTGCTGCGTGTGATCGCGGGCGGCCCGTGTTGCTGGTGTTGCGACGTAAAGTTTCTGGGCGAAATTGCCCCATCTGAAGCTGGCCTGAGTGGCGTGAGGGCCATGAGGCGTGAGGGGTGTGAGGGCCGTAAGGGCGGTGAGGGGCGTGAGAACGGTGAGTAGCGTGAGGGCGGTGAGTGGCGTGAGGGCGGCGAGTGGTGTGAGGGCTATGAGTGCGTGAGGGGCGTGAGGGCGGTGAGTGGTGTGAGGGCTATGAGTGCGTGAGGGCCGTGAGGGCGGTGGGGGCCGTGAGGGCGGTGAGTGGCGTGAGGGCGGTGAGTGGCGTGAGGGCCATGAGTGAGTGAGGGCCGTGAGGGTGGTGAGGTTCAGTGAGGGTGAGTGAAGGGCTGAAGGTGAGTGTGACTGTGAGGATGAGTGAGGGGCTGAAGGTGAGTGTAGCTGTGAGGGTGAGTGAGGGGCTTAGGTGAGTGTGGCTGTGAGGGTGAGGGTGAGTGAGGGCGACCTAAAATGCCGACCTCTGGTCCTCACGTCCTTAAACCATGAGAACAGAGCCCCTTCCACGTCTGGGTGGAGGCAAGGCCTGAGACTATTTTGGTCAAACTTTACGGTGTTGTTTGCATAGCAGTCTTCAATCTTCTTCCTTGCACTCAGGATGGTAGATATCGTGCTTGGTGCAAGCTCGAAGTCCGCAGTGATGTCTTTATTTTTTTTTCGACCGCTGTCCACAGCCCTTGCAAACTTCACTTTTTTTTTTCTCCAGAGAGACGGCTTTCCATATCGTCGCCATTCGCAGCTCCGCTACAAGTGGTGTGGTTGGCTGTTGACTTTAGCCGGAACTGGTTCTTGATGCCTTGCATGAAGGCCAGCAGTGGCACCCCCGCCATTATCTGCTCGGTTCATAGGTGGCGCTACCTCCCGAAAAGCTCATTTTTGCACATTGGGCAATCTGAACTTTCGGAATTTTTCGTTTCTAAATTACTTTTTAAATTTTTTTTCTACTTTTTAATAACTTTCATAGTATTTTACAGCACAAGAAAAGCAGGAATAGACCGATCTCACAAAGCGTTCCACGCATGCGTGACGCCGCCCTAACTGCAGTTCGTAGGAGGCAGACGCCAATTCACGAGATAGCTCATGCCGCCTCGTGCTCTGCTCGTGCAGAGCTCCAGCAGGGTTGTCGCGCGTGCAGAAAGACTACAGCTCCCACGATGCATGTCGGCAGCGATGGAATACTCAAACTAGCTGTGAGATCTGTCTATTGCTTTGCTATAGTTGATAGAGTGTTGGATCTCACAGTTTCGGTTTCGTTATACAGTCAAACCCGTTAATAACAAACAGCAGGAAAAGCTACGATCAGTTCGATATAGCAAGTAGTTCGAAATAGCAAAAACCATTTACAACGAACTTCCACGATGCGTAAGGTGAGAGCTTTTCTTTCTTACTCATCTCTCCACTTCCGCCTTGTAACGTGCTGAAAAGTTTTTTTTTTTTTTTGCATGCATGGAGAGTTTGTTTTTTAGTTTATCTCCCCTTCTGAATCGCTTCCCCTCCTGGGCCAATGCTTTGGGATGAAAAGTTTTTTTTTTGTTTCTGTGTGTGCATGCAGTGCTTTTAGCTTTCTCCCCTTCTGAATCGCTTATCTTCGCTCAATTTGTACGCAACTTGAGCTTTTGGAATTTTCTTTCTTTTCTACTTTTTTTGGGGGAAGGGACAAGCTAGAAGACGACTGTTTGTGCATTTTCGGAAGCCTTCTTGGGGGAAGAAGTGCAATATAGCCAATATGTTGTTCGTTATAAAAAGTACTTTTTACGTGCATTTTTATTTAAATGTTTCGCGAGTTCGATATCGACAATAATTTGATGTACGTGGGTTCGTTCTAAATGGGTTTCACTCTGTAACTAGAACTCCCATCCAAATAAAGCCTGACCAATCAAACTTCGTGATTAGTTTGCTATATCCAATAATATGTTAACAGTGTCTGTTATAAAGAGATTCAACTGTATAACATAAAAAAAAAAAAATTTACATTTTAAATATTGAAATCCTAACACAGGAGTTATTCAACTACTTTAACAAAAATTCGGTTAGAACATAAAAGTGTGCTACCCAGCATTACACCCCACTCCTGCCCTTTGTGAGGTCATGGAAATAGTGGTGATTGAAGCAATCAAGAAATAGTGAATAAGAAATAAAATAAAAGCACAAGTCCGTGGTGGAAGCAGGAGGCATCTCCCTTTAGGTAGCCAACAGTAGTCACTCACTTCTTTCACCAGAAGCCCATGCACAACTGCTTGTTCCTCAGACTAGAAATACTTTTCCCCAACAAAATTTGCAGGTCCACAAAGCAGTGAGGGAGCAGCAGGTGTTTTAAAGGAACAGGGTGGTTCACCTGATTTCCTGTCAGGTTCAGGCTCAAACTCCGTTGTGACCTTGCCCAGGTGGTTCACATGCGCCATCTGAAGTTTCCTAGAAACACAGTGAAGCAAAATGTTCTCACACAGAATGTGTTGTAGGGCTGGTCTCCAAGCCTAGAGCATCACTTAATGATGTCATAAAAAAAATGAAGTACAGCCGGCCGGGTATCTCTACAAAAAATACTGCCTCTTGCCAGAAATTGAAACCCAAACCTTTTCCATTGTAGTCCAACGCTGTACAGCTGCGACAGCAGTGTCACCTGACAATTTCCCATGTCAGGTGATGTCGTTTCATGTGGTCATGTGACCCACAGACACACTGACTATGTGACCCCTAACCACCTATGATGTTCGAGATCACAAGCCACCACAGCTGCACCGAAGAGCATCTGTGATGGCTTGAGGTACTTTGCTCATCTTGATTCATCTAGTGAAGCTTTGCACTTAGAGGAAGAAAAGCATTTGACATATCCTAGCGAAGGTTCGAGCGCTCACCTAAGCAAAGTGATGGACTCTTAATGTGCCACCAAGGCCTCAATTATGCCACACCCGCCACATCGACTCTCGGTTAGAGGGTTAGGCTGCAGGCAACTCGGCCAAGACTCGAACCCGCCGACCTGGTGTCCCTATTTCGGCACGCCACCCCACACCTCAAGGAAAGACGTGGCTCACCCCGCGAGGCTCCTCTTCCAAAGGGAGTCCGGGTTGAACTGTCCAGTGTCAATCTTCATGTCGCTGCCCTCGATGTTCCTCAAAATGCGGCGGGCGCCACTCACGGGTGTGCCGGGCTGCTTGCCGTCCATGGCCAACAGCGTGTTGGTCGTCTGGGAGGCCAGGGACAGGTCGCTGCTACTGCTGTCACTCCCTGAAACAATGAAGTTTGCATGCCTTTACCACCGCCCGTCATCACGGACCGAACTGAGATAAAGAACACAAAACTCATCAACATTCAAGGCGTTCAAATTGTTACCGGAGCTTCATCCAAAATCAGAAAATCTGGATGACAATGAAATGTCTCATATTAATGGGGGCTTCACAATGGTTGCCAATGTCACACTAAGCCAATCTGCCAATACTCAGTCAATTCCAACTGAGGCCAAGACGGCTACTGGGCTGGATGGTTGTTCGTCCTTAATATACTACACAATAAAAAAAAAAGATGGGCAAGAGAGAACAGAGAGAAAAGGTAGACAGGACACAGCATATTTTAGTAGGATGAATTCCAATGAAAAAGGACTTGAGCAATCTGAGAAGCACTGCATCCATGCATAAAGTGGCAAAACGTGACAGTTCATCAAAATGGTCTCTAGTGAAATTTCGAGCCAGAAGGGTTACATAAAAGTGCCTACAGGAAATGAGTCAAGCAGCACTAAGGTTTCTGGGTTTCTGAAAAACTTGCATTATACTAGTGCTTTACAGCTTGCAGTGGGGACAGTGTACACCGATACATTCAACCATTTCTCCTTAGTGCTATGCACACTTGACGTTCTTATGTTGTACAGTAGTGCCTTAACAGAATAAAGCAACAATCTTCTAAATGGAGAAAACTAATGCAAAAAAGGGCCAAGGCTGGAAGGCAGAAAAGGGCAAGTAAAAAAAAGAAGAGACAGAAACAGCACACTTCAATGCTGAGGGTCCCTGCATACTACCCCAATGGCACACAATCCCACATCGCTTTCAACACCATGATCCCACCCCCACAAAGGTAGCGTACAAGGCGAAAAAAAAAAAAAAGCTGCTGCAGAATGCTTACCAGATCGCTTTTTACGTCTCATACAGTCTGTGTCACTGTTGGCAGTCTGGATCGTGACAATGCACTCGGAGATGTACTTGACATACAGCTGACTGGAGAGGAATTGCTTCAGGTGGTTCTGCAGGCATGTACAAAGAAAAAAAAAAGAAAAACAGTTCATGGAAGCTTAGGTCTTTTGTGACAGTTCAGAGGTCCATACCTTCTCCAAGTGCTGCATGAGGATCATGACGGGCTTCTCGAAACAGGAGGGCAATGGACCTTCTTCTTGACAGATGTTCATCTCCACTTCAAGTCGTACGGCATCACTGAACCCAAGCGATGTGGTGGCCTGCAGTGAAAAGTACCTGGCAAAAAAGCGGTAAAAGAACAATTCAGTGATGTGATTGGCCTAAGCCGTTTTGGAGCACCTTTTGGAGCAGCCAAAACAGTGTTTTGGAGCAGCAAAAGTGGCCTTTGGAGCAGCCAGAACAGTGTTTTGGAGCAGCAAAAGTGGCCTTTGAAGCAGCCAAAACAGTGTTTCGGAGCAGCAAAAGTGGCCTTTGGAGCAGCGAAAACAGTGTTTTGGAGCAGCAAAAGTGGCCTTTGAAGCAGCCAAAACAGTGTTTCGGAGCAGCAAAAAGTGGTTTTTGGTGCAGATTTTGTTTTATAAAAATAAAAAACAAAATATTTGTTTTAAGTGCTGGACAAAGGAAGGCACTTTGCTCGCCACAATAATCAAATTATAGTCAAGTTAGACGACCTGGGAGTCTTTCAAGTTGTTTACTGAAATGGCAATGACACAACATTTTTTTGCAACGCTTCAGTTAAATGACATATATATATATATGTACCCGCTATAGATAAATAAGAACCAAATTGCACACACTAAATTTATTTGAAAACGACCAGCTTAGCAGTAAATATGAAAGCATAAACTTCACTGGTTATATAATATAATAAATTGAAGCAGTATCCAACTGATGAAACACGTAACTACTGCAATGCAATACGAAACTGTACACATGAAAAAGGTGCAGTGCGACTGGTGGGTGCTTTTCCTTTTGCTTGTTGAAACTTTCTGCAAGGCTGCTGCACGTCTCGCTTAGCTTTCGGCAAGTAATGAATGTCCATTTTCAATGTCTTTAAAGAGACGTTGAGACATCCCACAAGTGTACAGTGCTGTAGGCGTTGCCGAGCAATTCAAAAACGTCTCCCACCGTTTCACTGGTTCCCGACATGCCAGATTTTCGTCAGAAGCAAGCAAATGTAAAGCAATGGATTGCAAGCGTCCCGGCTGGTACCTCTGTCGTGCAATCATGTTCGCATGCACGTGAGGGCAACTTCGGCAGCTTGCAGTTGCACGCGCTTCGTTATGCGAGCGGAGACGGCTGTTCGATCGAAATCGAAACTCAGCCACTCCGCTCCGTCGCCATCTGGTCCCCAAAATTGTATGCAAAATGTAACAATCCAGAATAAAAAAAAAAAGAAAAACAGTCCAGCGGCGCGTGCTTGCCAGGCCAGTATGCGAGGCACAAGCTAAGTTAAAAGGTTAAAAAGCGCAAACAAAACAAAGACAATAAAACTAAAAAAAACAAACAAAAAAAAAACCTGAGCGCATTAATGCAAGACATCGCGAGTCAGGGTCAAAACGTTCTTGGAGCGCTTTGTGCAACAACTGAACTCAAGATAAACAAGCGCGCTGTGCGGGTTCAGCGTGCAGGCATTGCCTTCTGTTGCTTTAGCTAACTTGTCTTAAACTTTCTTTTGCGACAGACTTTTCACGTACCGGTGTCCCTCTCAAAGGAAATCCGACCGCGAGAAACCTAGGTAAACAGTACTTCGACACAACAATCTTTGAGCTAGAGGGATTTTTGTAATACCGTTTAATTTAAACAAGGACAAGATTGCTGATTACCCTGTAGCGGTCCTTACGTTTCATTTTAGAAAGCGCCATATCTGCAGCAATGTGTGGACGGGAACACCCGACGTCATAACCACGGCGACTGGTAGGCAGGGATAAAAGATAGTTTTGCCACGGCCGTTTCTTTCAGAAGCGAGTGCTTCAGATTACAAGTAACTCCCAATCCGCAAAAACGTGGTTTCGTTTTACAACATGACGGCATGGCTGGTACGCTTGCATCTATCGTTAAAATATTTTCAAGAGGATGCGAGACGAGACCCACGAGAGCGCGAAATGAGGAACGGCGGGAAAAACCATGCTAGACCGGATGGACGATTGATACAGCCTACTTTCTGTCGGGCGGTCGCTTGCGCCACCTAGCTCACGGATGCTCAATTACGGTACTCAGTTTAGTTTCGGTTTTGAAAGGCGACCGAAATTGGTCCTTTGGCGCAGGCTTGGTGCAGATTACCCATATTTCGGCGAAATGTAGCAGGATGTAGCAGGGTTAGCCCCTTGGCGCAGTTTGGCGCAATTGGCGCAGCAATCACATCACTGACAATTGGACAATTGAGCTAGGACTGTCGAGCAAGAGGAAGCTGGCTTAATTGAGCATGTGCAGCTGGGTGCAATATAGTAAACCCAGAGGCTAGCTGTGCTACATAACAATGATACGGCATGCAATAACCATAATTTGCATGCAAGCAGAAAAACCCAGTTGAAGAAAAAAAAAAGTTTTTTTTTGTTGTTACAAAACATGGCTGGCAGACTATGAATCAAAGGAAGGCCATCAGCCAAGTATATTTCCCCGTTGTTGCTAAGGTAATGAGTATCATCATCCAAGACACACCCATTAAATTGCCAATCAGTCTAAGCTCGTTATAACAGACCTTCATTTTGACCAAGATTTCGGTATGTTGTAAGAGGAGTATGTTGTATGCAGATATGAAGTTGAATCAATGGTATGGGGAGGAAAACCAACTGAACTTCACGAATCGGTATGTTATATCCAAATGTCTGTTGTAACCAGGTCTGTTGTAATGAGCGTAGACTGCAATATCCTGCCATTTATTTTTCTCATTAATTACTTAACAAAACACCATACCCAGTTCTTGTCTGGGGAGTATGACATTAGATGACCTTCTGTATCTGCTGCAGGCACAAAATCAATTAAGTGCTTATACCTAGCCTTGATATTAACATAAACCCCTTTATTTTCTATTTACACTAAACTCTCGATCAAAGTGGAGTGCTTCACAACTTTGTGTGCTATTTAACTCAAAATTATTCAAGCAATGTCACGACTATATTCACTTTTCAAATTTAAATTCTGCTAATTGCACCATCCAATTGAAGTTTAACACTGTTCCAACATTCCGTGCACGCCATAATACCCCCAAAAACTTGACAGGCATGCAAACCTGAATGGGCGAAATCTGTCCCCTGTTGTCCACCTTCCATTACCCCATTGGTTGCAAAAGACATCAAGAGCAGGAGCCTAACCCTCCTCGGTCGCAGCTGTCTAACACCCCAATCAGACGGGCTAATTCAGTGCACTTCGCCTTTAGTGTGCCTCACTGCTTCTTTCTGAAGAACACCCTTGGCTTCAAGTGAGTTTGATAAACTCACTTCACTCTATCGAGTGCATGGCCTTGATAGCAGTTTTGACCAAAAACGTGGCATAAATGTTTTTACAAGAAGAATTAGAAATTCGTCAAAGAAAAGACAGAAAGGAGTGTCACTGAAAAAAAAAAATAGTGGGGCTCACACACTTGTGACTTCTTAGAGCCGAGTGCCTGAAAACCTCTTGAAAACTCTTGCGACGAGAGGACACACTGGCACCACCTATTGGGTAGCAGTGGAACACTGGGCTGCCCCATATATTTTCAACTTCTTTCGTCCATCACTCTTTCTTCCTTGGCTTGAAAAGCTTTTGTCAATGTTATGAACAAACATTTTCCATAAGTAACAACATTTGACCTTGCAAATATCGCCAAACCTTCGCTCTAGCGAAATGCAGTCTCCAGGGTTACCACATAGATGGCGCCAGCGTGTTCTCTCGTCGTAAGAGATTTTAAGAGGTTTTAAGGCGCTCGGTTCCAAGGAGTCGCAGGTGTGTGAACGGGCCTTTAGCCTTACAGTTTAGGCTGATCTGTACCAAGATTAGCGCCGTAGTGAATAGGTAAAAGGCGACAACTAAGTCAGTCAATCCAATGCTGTCTTGGTTAGCATAGGAGGAGAGAGCCTACATTTGTTTCAGTATGTAGGTGTTTGAGTCAACACAATAATCATGATCTAATAAGGCAATGCCAGGGCCTCCTTGTAGACCTCCATGGGATGAAGCAGAGCGCCAAGGTTGGATCTTCTTTATCGTGCCTTGCGATGATTGATCAAAATCACTCAATTGGCATAAAGATTGCTTATTCGTTTGAAGTTGATTTGCAACGTGTCTTCATTAAATATACAAAATATTGCTGAGACATTTATTCCTTTACTCTAATATTTTATATGCCTAGTAGTACTTTGCCCATCGTTATTGGCATCATTTCTGAGTGACACAAATTTTTCCCATGTGGCACCGGAACACTTGAAGTGACATTCGGTAAGGTGAAGTGCACTCGGTCGAAGTGGACTAAACTAGCCTGTCTGACAGGGGTATTAGCGGTCTCCCTACGTCTGTCCACCCTTGTGCAAAGTATTTGAAAATCTTCATTATTTATTATTATTATTATGTATTATTACAGCTACAAAGTCAACTTCATGCAACTATTCAACCAGGGTGATCAGACCTCCCGTTTTCAAAGCGACAGCCTCGTTTTAGAGTAATGCAGATTCTTGGGCAAGTTGGTACTGAAACTTGGAGAACATAATAGCGCTTCACGACAGGGACGAAGAGTAGGAACGAGACAACACAATGCGCATTGTGTTGTCTCGTTCCTACTCTTCGTCCCTGTCGTGAAGCGCTATTATGTTCTTGTTTTAGAGGTTCATTTCTGCCCTCCCGTCACTTTATCTCAATGAAGCTTCATGTAGCCCTTTTTGTTTAAATTTCAGAACTCACATAGGGTAGTTGCTGTAGTGTTGTTTGTTACCGTTAGGTGTCGCTTTTAACACGACTAACACTATTCTAACATACTATCATAGAGGGCGCCGCCTCACTGTTACGTTTGTATATATTCCGTGAATAAAGACTGCCGTGGGTCTTTGCCCATCCGGCCCAGCTGACTCTGTCTGGTCCCGGTCTCTACATGGTGTCAGAAGTGGTTCGCTAGGCTGCCTCCTACGGCAGCGGCCGCGGCGAAGTTCGGAGACCATGGCTACAGGCAAGCCGGCGGGGTCCGGGGCGGGACCCGTAACAGTGGGCGTGCCAAGCCTACGCCCGCCGCCGCAGTTTGACTTCGGTAACCCCGGAGCATGGCGACAGTGGCGGCAGCAATTTGAAGACTACTGCTACGCATCAGGCCT